GCCTTGTTCAGGCTCTCGTCCCTTCCTGTGACCTGATGTGCTTGTCCCTCCCCTCCTGATCCGTCCTTGAGGCTGGGGCCCTGGGCACTTGACTCAGTATTAGAAAATAAAATGCATCCATTGTAGGGATTTTAGGAAGTAAAAATCCCCGCTATGAGTTTTCTGTGCTCAATGTGATCCTTCCAGACCCTTTTCCTATAAGTACAAATTATATATTTTATAAAAAAACAAGATGATACTGCCCAGCCAGTGTGGCTCAGTGGTTGAGCGTCCCCTATGAACCAGGAGGTCATGGTTGGATTCCCGGTCAGGGCACTTGCCTGGGTTGCTGGTTCAGGCCCCAATAGGGGGTGTGCGGGAGGCAGCTGATCGATGATTCTCTCTCATCATTGATGTTTCTATCTGTCCTTTTCCTTCCTCTCTGAAGTCAATAAAAAATATATTTTAAAAAGATGAGATGATACTGCACCTACTATCTGTCACTTGATTTTTCCACCCTATTTTGTGGCCGTCTTTCTAGATCCTTAAACGCTCTTCTATCACCTAAGCTGAGGTCTGCTCAGAGTGGAAGGAAGATCGAGAGCTGAGTGCAGAGTTCTGCAGACAGGAATTGGGCGTCTGGTGGTGTTGGACGCCTGAGTAAAAGCGTGAAGGGGTGGGGTCCAAGGCCCCGTCGTCTGGTTGACCCCTGGTAAGACCTGGGCATGGAAAGCAGTTGCTCTTGAGTCGCTATGAACACAGAGTGGTCCCTTCTAGAATGCTCCAGGTTCCCCAGGGACCCTTGGCTTTCCTGTAACCTGTGACCCTTTCTGAGATAGCATGTAGGGGGGAGGGCAGGCAGGTGCGGTGCGGCTGAGAGGCAGTGCATACGCACACCAAGCCTCACACGTACCATCAGTGTATCGCTCGCCAGTTCACCTGGTCAAAACATGGTCAGCATCACAAACGCCCTGCCACTCACCCCTCCCCGAATGCAACCGCCACCCAACTTCTGAAGACAGGTTACTTCTGTCCGACTGACCCTGAGTGCAAGTCCTACCTGGGACCTTTGAAAGGGAGCAACCAGGAGCAAACGCATTGGTTCAGAATTCTAATTATCTTTTGAAAAATATACTTTTGTTTATTTCAGAGAGGACGGGAGAGGGAGGGAGAGAGAGAAACATTAATGATGAGAGAGAATCATTGATTGCCTGCCTCCTGCATGCCCCACACTGGGGACCGAGCCCGAAACCCAGACATGTTCCCCAACTGGGAATCGATCTGTGACCTCCTGATTTGTAGATCAATGCTCAACCACTGCGCCACACCAGCCAAGCTAATTATTTTATTTTTCATGATCACTGTGCTCCGTGGCACCTCTCCATTGCTCTCAGTGCCTGCCTTTTATAAGGGACTAACAGCCTTGTTTTAAAAAGAAAAAAGTGTGTGCAAGGACCAGCAAGTGGTTTTAAAACTCATCCAGCTGGCAGCTGGAACCTACACCGAGGCCCCTCCAGAGTTCCCTCCCTGCTCCTCCTCTCTCCCTTTCTTCATTCAAGACAGTCGGGAATGTGTTAGCAGAGAGCATTACTAAGAGAGCTCAGAGAAGCTCTGTAAAAATGCAGAGTACTTTTGACCCTGAAGCTGCTAAGCAAATTCAGAGCAACTGCGTTTGACCCCGGCGCCCTGGACTGCGCGGTGCTCAGCTTCTGTTGTCACCCTCTCAGCTCCCAGGAGGGGACTGCCAGCCTCTTCTCTGCTTCTCAGGAAATTTTCTTCCTTTGGGAGGAACATGAGCCAGAGTTGCAGCCACACCTGCTTCTCTAGTAGCTTAGGGCCGACACTGGGAGGCCAGGTGACAAGGTCGGAGACAGAGTCCGAGAGGGTGGGAACCGACACTGACAAACACCTGCGGCTGCTCACCTCCTGCCAGGTGTCTTCCAGGGCAGGTGTCGCTCCAACGTACAGATAAGGAAACAGCTTACAGTCACCAGCTACTGGGCAACAAAGGCAGCTGCAGAGCACGCCTCGCTGATGCCCAGATCCGGTCTCTGTTCCCTGTGGGGGCGGCGGCCGAGCTCTCACATTCCCCGCAGTCTGTGTTTAGTCCCAGTGAGCAAACCGCACTCCCAGGTGGGTTTTGATGCCTGGCTCCGAGGTCTCTCTCTGGCACTCTCGGCGGGTGTGTTTCAATGGACACCATTGGCCCTCAGAGCTGTGAAGAGAAGCGAGTGCTGGCTGTGCTCTTCCTGGTCTCAGGGCCCTACAGGTAGCCAGGAATACGTCGAGTCTGTTTCTCCCTTTAGGGTGACCTAAAAATTAAATGTAAGTGTCCTCTGGATCAGCTTTTCTTAACCGAGTGTATTCATGATCGAGTGTGCACCAACAGAAATCGGGGACTTCACAGGTGGCGAAGGTTTTGTGATGGTTCAGTGAGCTGTGGGGGGAACGTGGAGCCACTTCCTGACGCTGGCAGCACAGGCGGCCGAGCTCCGGCCCACAGCAGTGGAGCGTGTCCACGCTGCAAGCAGGTGAAGTCGGCAGGTCCTCGCTTCAGACACGGGTTTGCAACACACAGTGAACACAGCATACAGTAAACAGGAAACACAACTTTTTCATAACGGGTTTTAAAGCAATGTCTAAGAATTGTATCTTGAGGTATGCTGTGTAGTTACTTGGCTACTGACTAGAGGCATGGCTGTAGCTAAAGGAACATCATCACAGGAGCGTGTGCTCAGATTCCTTTCCGCGAGGTGCCTAAGAGTCAAGCAGGAAGCGCGTCCAGGCGTCTTTCTAGCACTCGACCCACCGTCCCTGAACTCTCGGGAGACTGGTTTTCTGAACTTCCGTTCACATGTGCGTGTCTTTCCATTCTTTTCCTTTCATTCTTCCTTATGTTAAAAGTGTTTCATTTGGAAGCAATGTATCCTTGTTTTGTTTTTAAACCCAGTGGATTTGTGTCTTTTCCTTGGAGCTTTGTCCATTGTCACCGAGTGCAATGTAAAATGGATTGGGCTTCAGCCTACTTTCTTGCTGTTTGTTTTTTGTTTGTCCTGTTTACCCCTTCTTTCCTGCCTTTTCCCATTGTTCTCTATTAGCACATGATACATTCTGGGCTTTAGGACCACATTCTCTGTTAAAGAACAACCTAAGCATGTGACCTGACACGTGTCCAAGTTGCCCCTGTAGCTCCAGTAGACTTTGGACGCTGACTAAATGCTCGGGGTGATGGCTCCAGAGAGGACAGAGGGAGAGCAGAGCCAGAGGCTTGGGCAGGCAGGGAGCAGGGGCAGTTGGAGGTAGGGAGGACCAGGAAGGGGGTAGACCCAATGTCAATGGGGGAACCGGACTAAAAGAGGCCCCTGATTTGGGAGGAGGGGCTGGCCAGACTGAGGTCTGTGCTCCTGGCAGCTACAGAACACCGCTGGCCTCCTTGACCTCCTGCCTCAGACCCTCTAGTGCAGTGGTTCTCAACCTGTGGGTCGTGACCCCTTTGGGGGTCGAACAACCCTTTCACGGGGTCGCCTAAGACCATTGGAAAACACTTATATAATTACATATTTTGTGATTAATCACTATGCTTTCATTATGTTCAATTTGTAACAATGAAATTGGGGGTCACCACGACATGAGGAACTGTATTAAAGGGTCGCAGCGTTAGGAAGGTTGAGAACCACTGCCTAGTGGGTCAGGTGATGCTCGGGCTCACTGCCAGCGAGAGTGCCCTGGGCCAAGTCCATCCAGCTCGTGGGCCTCAAGGCAGCAGGCGCAGGGGGAGGCAGGCTACTCCTGTTTCTCTTACTGCTCCGCCACCCCTTCAGATGCAGGCGGAAAGGCTCACAGGTTCCTGGGAAAACTATCACCTACCACTGAGCATCCCTGCGGTGAAAGAGTTCGGGTCAGGGAAGTGTGTGGTTGAGTCCTACGAGCTTTACAGATACTAATTCAGGCATCATCACAACCAAAATAAATGGTTGTCACTATTATTTTATGCCGTTCACACATGAAGCAGAGAGGTTAAATCGCTTGCCCAGGGCACACAGTTATTGGGCGGCAGAGCTGGGACCTGCCCCTGGCGGCCTGTCACACTCCGCAGTGCCAAACACAGCCTGTGTCCACCGTGCCAGGACCACCGTGAGGCTCTGACACCAGGGCTTCTCTGTGTCTGCTTTGCAGTTGACTCATCCCCAAAGTCCGCCCCACACCGCAGTCTCTTCCTCTGCCCCTAGCGTGGGGCGTGGTTGGGCTTTTTGCAGGATGGATATCGGTCTTTGCGATAGAACTCTCCAATGTGGAGGCCAAGAAAGCAGGAGAATCTGACACCATGCACTTGGAGTGAGCTGCACATGCGGGTGCACGACCAGCACCGATAGGGAGCAGCCGGATTCGCACCTGCTCCTTTTTTTCTTTGTTTGCATGAAAGTCAGGGCATTTGATATGGAATGTTGGACATACTGGATTTTCTGTGCAGCCCTGAGACCCTGCCACGTGCTTCCCTCTCAGCAGGCCAGTGGAGCTTCGCCGCGCAGGGCGTACTGGGTGGGGAGTGGGAGCGAGCAGACGTCCCCGAGATGGAGGCAGGTTTCGTGGGCAGCAGGCTCAGGCAGCAGCGTCAGGCCCCTCACCTCCCCATCCTGTGAGACATGGACATTCAGAGGACGTGTTAGCATCTGCTGTTTTGTCTGTGTTACTGGACCCGTCTAGAGCCCTCACATGTCTTTGGAGAAATTCAGCCGTACTTAGCAGAACTGAGAGCATCAGAATCTTTTCCTGAAGGGAACATGACGACCGGAGAAACAAATCCAGCTTGCATTCTGTGGTGTTGCCTCTGGGCTTCCTGTTTACGAATTATGCAAGTCGCTCTCAAACTATTTCATGTTGGTTTTGCATGACTTGGTAAACTGTCTCAAGAGAAAATGCACAGCGTGACACTCACTGCCCACAATGTATACCTCAGGGCTGGCGTGCGACCACAGCATGGCGTCCCTCCCAAGTTCAGCGCGCAGAGCACACCCACCTACCTGTGATCAGCGTGTCACTGGGAATGTCTTCTATGATGCACTTCTCCTCTCGCTCCCCGGCGTGGAAATAAAAAGCAGTCGAAAGTGAAAAACAGGAACTTAAAAGAAACGCTAGCACTCGCATTTCGGTTGCTGTAGCGACTCCCGGTAGCACTTGCTTTGAAATGGATCGATCGCAAGGGATGCTGCTGAGGGAGTGTTTGCATTCCACCCCACAAGTTTGTAAATTGATTTTTGTGAGAAGTGACATGTGGTGGCTGCCCTTGGGCAGGTGACTGCAGCAAGTCCCAGGGAACAAGACACCTGTCCCCTGGGGCCTGTCCAAGCTGATGACATCAGAGTGCCTTCTGATCTGTTGTTTTATGGGTTTCAAAGAATTCTAATGGGATGAAGGACCATGCGGGCCTGGGGAACCAAAGTGCCACACTCAGCAGATGCCCGGGGACCAAGCCCACATGGCCATTTCCTGGTGGTCGCCACTGCTTGGCAGGAAGTGGGGAGCAGGAAGTGAAGCCTGTCCTGGGTGGAGGGCGTCTAGAGGAGGGGGACGGGTGGAAGTGTGGCCGGAGGAACAGCCGGCTGCTGAGGTGGGACGTGCTGGACTCGGAGGGCTCGCCCTGAACGCGACTCCTTGAGTCTGTTTCCTTATTTGGAAGAAAGTGTCCAAGTCTCCCAGTGCGAGCCATTAGATCCCTTCAGTTCTGGCAGCCAGTGTCTGTCTTGAGCTTTACTTCTTTTATTTCTTTTTTTTCTTTTAATTTAATTTAAATTTTTTAAAAAATTCTTATCCTTACATACTTATAGACCAGTGGTTCTCAACCTTCCTAACGCTGCGACCCTTTAATACAGTTCCTCATGCTGTGGTGACCCCCAACCATAAAATTATTTTCGTTGCTACTTCATAACTGTAATGTTGCTACTGTTATGAATCATCATGTAAATATCTGATATGCAGGGTGTATTTTCATTGTTACAAATTGAACATAATTAAAGCATAGTGATTAATCACAAAAACAATATGTAATTATGTATGTGTTTTCCGATGGTCTTAGGCGACCCCTGTGAAAGGGTTGTTCGACCCCCAAAGGGGTTGCGACCCACAGGTTGAGAACCGCTGTTATAGACCCACAAAAAGTTGCAGAAACAGTACAGAGAGGTCCCATGTGCCATCGCCCAGCCCCACCCAGCGGCCACGTTTCGCATAACTGCATCCTGGAACCGGAGTGGACAGGGATTGCACTGGTGTTTTTTTTAGCATCTTTTAAAAAAAGGTCTTTGTCTGCCAGATCTGCCATTAGATCTTTTTCATGGGCAACTCTGTTGACTTATTCTTTTCCTGAATGGGCCATGCTTCCTTTTCTTTGTAACTCCTGATACTTTGTTGGACATTGGCTATTTGGGTTGAATATCGTGGTGATGCTGGAAAGCACCTCCTCCCCCTGCCAGGGTGTGCTGTTGTGTTACTGCTGTGTCAGTGCCGTAGGTTGTCTCTGTCAAGGCCACCTGAGGAATAACCCTAAGGTCTCCTCAGGTCTCTCCTGGGACGCCCCGGGCACGCCCAGGCACTTTCTAGTGTTCCCTGTATGCGCAGTTGTTTTTAAATACCTTCTCCTCAGGGTTTGGCTCTGAGAGGGGAAAAAGTGAAAAATTAAGGGGGAGGCGAGAGAAAGGGTGCCAGCTGTTTAAATCTCCTGCAAGCCACTTCCACTGGAGAGGGCAGGGCTTGTAACCATGGTACCCCCCCCACCCCCCGCCTCCCGCACGCCCCCCCGCCCCCCCCCCACCCCGTCTGCATCCTGTGATCAGAAGCACCAGTCACCAGGCAGCTCACAGATCCCTGGGAGACAAGACCCTGTGTGCCCACCTGGGCTCCTGCAGGCTGCACGTAGGCTGCTCCAGGAGCAGGTACGCAGCCAGCCGTCTGACCCTGGCTGGAGTGGGGGACGCGTAGCTGCTACTGTGCTAAGAGCTGAAGTTGAGCAAAATTCACCACAGTTTACCGTCCAAGTCTTCCCCTGGGAGTTGCTGGCCGTCCACAGACTCCAGCGCTCCAGGACAGTTGCATCAGACAGATGCTGGCGGTGGTCCCGGTGGACCCGCGCCTCCTGCTCCCCCAGCGGCCCCGGTCTTGGGTTCCTTTGGTATAAATAAGACACTGGGTAACGGGTGTTTGTCCCCGGGGCTGTCTCTGTGTTGAGCTTTTCCAGGGGCGGAGACGGGTGCGTTGGTGCTGAAGCTCCTGCTCAAGGAGTTCCTTCCCTGGCAGCCGCCTGGTGGTAAACTCAGCTTTTCTTCATCTGAAAGTGTGTAAGGCTTCCTCCCTGAAAGCTGGGGTTGCACTCACAACTCTGGTGGACAGTTTCTCATACGCGGAAGGCAGTGCTGGCTGCCTTCTGACTCCGTGGCTGCTGTGGAAAATGGCTGTCGCTCCCACAGATGCGCCTTCGTGGGTGATCTGCCCGCCTCTGGGCCTTTGAAGGTCATCTCTTGTGTTGGGGCTGGGTAGTTTATGTCGGGCACAGGCGTGGCGGCTTTCATCTGTCCTGTCTGGGATGTATTATGCTTTTTGGCTCTAAAGGTGCCTTTTTATTTTAGCTTTCTCCGTTATCCCTAGTATATCCTCAGAGTGTCGGGTTTGACGCAGTTAACACTTCTCATTCTATCTCCCATATCTTCTGGAGGTTTCCTGCCTCTTTGCCTCCTCTGTGCTGTATTCTGGGGAATGGCCCCAGCAACGCCTTCCAGTTCCCAGCTCCTCCTCCAGCCGAGCCTGGATCGGCTCTTTAACCTACTGACTGAGGCCTGGTGGTCCACACAGTCTTTTCTTTCCGAATGTAGCTGTTCATTTCTAATCATCCCTTGTTGATTGGTCATTTTGTTGTAGCTGTTCTGTGTTCTAGTTCTGATAATTTCATTACCTTGGCTCTCAGAATCTATTGGGGTTTTTTTCTGTTTACTTTCAATCAATCATAGTGACTTGTTTTTTGGTTTAACTGGTGACTTTTGGGTGGCACTCATGGCTTGATTGTGATTGGTGGGAAGCCTGAGCCCCCCTGGGAGTTGGGAAAGCTTCCTCTGGAGAGAATGCATCTGCTCTTCCCTGGTGTCGAGGGACACTGCTGTTGGAGGGCTGGTTCAGCAGGAGAGCGCCAGGCTGTCTTCTGGACTCTGCTCTGGCGCATGCTCAGCAGCAGCCCCCAGGCGACCTGCCCTTCCAGCTGCTCACATAGTTTGGCCTGACCCCAGCTCCTCTGCTCCAGGCCCAATTCCATGTTTTTGTTTGCTTATTTGTGAAAGTGAGAGGAAGTGAGAGCTCTCCCCTACCTCTTATGGAATGTCAGTGTCTCAGATGGTGTTTCCACCTGGGTTTAGGGTCTGGCTGTGTGTGTGGGGGGGGGGAGGGTGTCCCTTCAGAGCGCCTGGGCAGACCCAGTGCTCAAGGCAGCCTTCTGGGTTATGCCATCTAAACATCCTTTTCTATAGTCTGCGTGGAGTTTGGACAGAAGTGGGGTTAGATGTGAGTGTTCAGTCCACCATCTCTGCCAGGACACCCATCCCATCACTTCTCACTGTCCTACCCCTACCTTCTTACCCCCAGTGCCACCAACTGCTCAGCCCTGCCCCTGGTCACGTGCTTGGTGTTGCTGAGCATGGTGGACCATTGCCATGATCCTACCCTCCTCCCGTATTTGCACTGCAGATCACTTCTACCTCCTCCTCGTGACAGCTCTGGGTCCCGCCCCTGCTGGGCGCAGCTTGCAGCCCCTTGAAGCCCAGGGTAGACATTCCCAGCCTGTGCAAGAGACCTGCAGGTATCTGAGTAGATGCTGGGACAACCACGTTTGGCCCAGTGCCCTTCAGCGATCCAGTACA